TGTGGGTTGGGTTCTCCAAACGCTGGCCTGGCTTATAAGAAAGAGTCCCTGGGGTGGTTGGTTTTGCTTCTTAGCAGGTAATAAAACAGCCTCCTAACATTTAGACATGATTATATTAATAGAACTTGTCAAATTATTCCATGAGTTGTGTTGTATCCTAGCAGAGGAAGAACATAAAACATGAGATGCCTAAATGATGGGAGATCACATGGCTATAAAAATGACTTGAGTAACACTGGAAGGTAGTGATGATATATGAAAGGTCTGAGACCAAATAGGATGCATAGTTGTAGGAGAAAGTCTCAGAGGAACCATCCCATAATGCTGACGGCTTTCAGCACGTTGAGTAGTGGCAGCATTTATTTGTATCATTATATATATATATATATATATATATATATATATATATATATATGTTTTATATATATCTGGAAATTTAAAACACACACACACACACACACACACACACACACACACACATATATATATATATATATATATATATATATATATATATATATTTTTTTATGTTTTAAATTTCCAGTGAATTGCGTTACTTATATGATAAACTCAAATATGGAAGTAAGTCACAGACTTCTTTATTCTTTGTGACATTCTGAAAGGCCACGATTAGCAGAAGGCCAACGTCGTGGACAGTGGGCAGGAGACACATGCTTTCAGTGGGAAGTTTTCCAAGTAGCGGGGAGAGTGAAGCCAGCTCGTTCCCTCCCCAGTGGGCAGTTTTGCTGTTGATAGAGGAGGGTATCTTCCAATCCTCCACCCCCTCATCACTGCCCCTCTTCCTGAGGTCCAGGGATGAACACACCTGCTGCTCCTGCAAAGGTCCCCCTGGCCCTGTCTGCAGGGCCTGGCAGACTCTCACTTGTGTCTCGGCTCTGCTCTCTCTCAGCTTGGTGCTTTTTAATTGCCAGCCAACCACAGAGCCGAATCCTCGGAATGTGCTTTGATAGCAGCAGAGCATGGGCCTGGTTGGACTGAGAGATGGTTCATAACGACCTCTGGGTAACGAGCAAGGTGGCCACCCTGACTACTTGGCCAGGGGCCAGCCTCTGATCTCAGGATGCCGAAATCGGGGCGCCTCCTTCCCCCAAGATTCTGTGGGATTTACACTTATTAATTGCTGTAAATCAAAATGCATTCCCTCCCTGAGGTCAAAGGCAGGGGTTGTTCACATTCATCATGAAGGGAAATAATGACCTGAGTTTAGGAGGAGTCTTGCCCTGCAGATATAGGGAGGGGAGTGTTTGTTTATTGGGCACTGAGTTGGATATTGAGCTGGGCCCTTTAAAAAAAATTATCTTTATTGTTGAAGAGCAGGACATTTTTGAGAAGAACTGACTGAGTGACTTTGGTTGTGCAAGGTTTCCAAGAAGAAATAGGCCTTTCAAAGCAAAGCAGCCATTCAGTTGGGGATGCTTCACTGATGAGAGGTAGACCAGGGTGAGGTTCCCAATCACCACGAAGCAATTCCACGGGGCACAAGACCATGGCTTTGGGAGTCAGAGAGAAGTGGCTCTGAGTCAGGGACAGTGTTATCCTGAGGGGCGGGGGAGGAGGGGAGTCTGATGTGGTGACTTGGGAGGGGTGTGGGTGCTGAGTGGTGAGAAGGCAAATCGTCCTGCAGAGTGCCCGGCCTGTGGGATACTGTGTCCTCTCCCCGCTTTCATCCTCACAACTAGACGCAGCAGTCATGTGGGGTAGCATTGCTGGGAAGTGTTGTTCTTGTTTGCTGAGCAAACTGCATGGGGTCAATGTTAACACTGCCTCAAGGCTGGCTTTCTGATGTCAATCCAGAGAGGAATTTTCTGATGTCAATACACTCTCCTAACTCACAGTCTCAGAAGGTCGCCAGCCCTTTGTCAGGTTTCAAGAAGGGCCTCCGTTCAGTCTCATAAAGCTGTTAGAACCACGTGCGGTCGTGAACTCCACACCTCCGAGGCTTTCCTGGCGCTCACTCTATTATGTTTTCTTTACCATCAAAACGCTTTCCAAAATAAACAGAGGAGATCAGCTCCCCGATGCAAGAAAAGAAATACAAGGTTCCTGTCACAGACTTTGACTGAACCCGAGTTCCCAGATAAGAACAGACTCTCACAGGATAATTGTGTCACACGTGACGGGACACATGGCATGGCCACCGCGAGCGCGGGGACCGTAGTGCCATAGTTTTAGGTTTAATGTTGGCAGTAAAACTGCCTCATGAAACTTTATAGGTCACAAACGGAAACGTCCAACGCCAAGGTCAAGCAAGATAAAAAGAACCACCGGATAGAAGGCAGGTCCACCCTTCTTTTTTTTTTTTTTAAATATATTTTATTGATTTTTTTACAGAAAGGAAGGGAGAGATATAGAGAGCTAGAAACGTCGATGAGAGAGAAACATCAACCAGCAGCCTCTTGCACACCCCCTACTGGGGATGTGCCCGCAGCCCAGGTACATGCTCTTGACCAGAATCGAACCTGGGACCTTTCAGTCCACAGACCGACGCTCTACCACTGAGCCAAACCGGTTTCGGCAGGTCCACCCTTCTTTATCCAAATCCCACAGGCCCCGGGATTCAGAATGTTTTGGGTTTTGGAAAAGCAATACTGTGCATGTACTGAATATTCTAGATTATCCTCGAGAAGGTCTGAGCAATACCTGGTCAAAATGTATTCATATTTCCATAGTGAAACTTGTGGACGTTCCCACAAAGAGGGAGAAATAGAGAATGCATGTAACGTCTCCTCATTGCAGGCCCAGTTTTGCTGTCAAATGAGTTACAAAAATCTCCCAGCACTTTGAAGCCTTTTGACTTTCAGAACTGTGGATATGGGATCATGAACTGTATATAAGTCCAGTCTTTAAACACCTGGATTTTGAAGAAGATTTAATAATATATAACTCATAATATAAGATACCCTCTTTCCCCGAAAATAAGACAGTGTCTTATATTAATTTTTTTCTCCCAAAGTTGCACTAGGTCTTATTTTCAGGGGATGTCTTATCTTTCCATGTGCTATGTCTTATTTTCGGAGGATGTCTTATTTTCGGGGAAACAGGGTAGTATCAATGAATGAGTGACTGGAAATGACATGAGTTTCAAAAGTAGGTTTCATGAAATTTTAACACGTGACACGAAGATATAGAAAGATGACAAGCAATCTGCATGGTTTACTCTTGGGCCCTTTGGGGATGCTTACTCTGCCATCCGTCCTCCATCGGGGTGTGAGGGAGACTCTTCCTGAGTCCCCAAAGCAGCACCGGCCAGGTCCAGGGCCATCACTCTCATGGCCTCCATCTTTGCCGGAGCACTCAGGGCTGAGCACTGAGCTACTTATCAGCGCTGCCCCTAGTGGTGGAGAGGCCCTGGAAGCTGGACAGCACTCCCTTCCCCAGCCCTGTGGTCAATGGGGCCGGCTGCCTATCTGCTCTGCTACAACACCGCCCCCCCCCCCCCCCCCAACCTCCCCTGCTGCTGGGAGGAGCTGGGAGGAATGCAGCATCATCATTGAGGCCAGTGCATCTTTAGGGAAGCAGTGGGCTCTGCTGCAGGGAGAGTTCAGCGAGAAGGCCTACCAACTTCAGGAGCAATTTAGAGTCCATGACATCGGATTCCTTAGCATATAGGGAGCTTTCCGGTCACTTTTTACGTGATGCTAAAATGACTCGCTTAATGCAAGTTGTGTTCTTAGAGGGGAGACTAGATCTCATTCCCCTTTATTTTTTATTTAAAAAAAATATATATTTTTATTGATTTCAGAGAAGAAGGGAGATGGAGAGAGAGATAGAAACATCAATGATGAGAATCATTGATTGGCTGTCTCCTGCACTGCCTCTCCCACCCTCCACAATGGGGATCAAGCCCGGAATCTGGGCATGTGTCCTGAGCTCCTGGTTCATAGGTCGAAGCTTAACCACTGAGCCACACCCACCAGCTCTCATTCCTCGTTAAAGCAGAGGCATGGAGCTCAGTGCTTAGCCTGATGCTGGGTGTGCTGCCTCCCTGTCACCCTAGACACCAACCCTGTGCCCAATGCCCACCAGGGAGCATTGGCTAGTTACCCTGTAACCAGGGTTCTTCTGGGACTGGGAATCCACCCAGAAACCTGGCAGCCTTTCTCCCCAGGCCAGACCTTGCTTCCCAGAGGGAGGGTAAAGCAGCTCGCCCATACCCAAAGCTGTAGCTGCCTCCCCAGCACCATCCGCTCTAAGACGAGGCGTGGAGCTTAGATGCTCCCCTGCACCCTCTGCTTCTCCTTCCCTACAGAGAATGACAGCACTGCCCTTCCATTGGCAAGCCAAAACAAATGCACAGACCACAGATGGGGTTTAAAATCAGGACACCAGGTTTTCTCCACTTTAACACCCCCCCCCCCCCCCCGCCCCATTGTAAATATTTCTTACAATGTGGAGGCCTACCATTTTTGTTTGTTTGTTTTACCATATGGTATTTACACACAAGAGGAGCTGATGGAGTTTGGCCAGGTCAGGCACACACTGGAAATCCTATACCAAGCGCACACCCACTCTGAGGGTTTTCTCTAAGGATACCCCTGCCCCCCTCCCCACTCAGGAGGCCACCCGAGTGGGGACGGGTGGAGGGGGACCCTCAGAGGGGATCCAGGTTCTCTGCTGTGGAAACATGCGTGCCGACCTCTGGTCCTTTAGTTCTACCCTCACACTGGTGGGAAGTGATGGGTGATATTTCTGGCATCCTTGGGGCATGCTGGTACTGGGAACCTCGTTCCTGCCCCCACTACACACCTGTTTTGGGGACAAGTGGCCTGCTGGCAAAAAGCACGCTGGGACCGGGCAAGGTATCACTGACTCCCACATGTGCATCCTTGACCCTGGCCTCTCAGGCTCCGCTTTGACCTTGGAAATGCCCTTCCCACGGGTGTGGGGGGGGGGTGCATTAGCATTCTTCCTTAGTTTGAGTCCAGGATCTGAGTCCTGCCCACACTAGGAGGTGGGGCTGCATACACAGAGGTACTTACTGCCTGTTCATAGCTCGTGGCACCGGGCGAAGGAGAGGGACCCTCAGCTCAGCCTGTGGAGAGAAGGGCACACCGTTAGCGGGCCTCACACGTCATGTTCTAATTCTGGCGAACATGCGCCTGTCACTTCTTGTTAAAATGGGATGCAGGTGCCTGCTCCGAGGAGACAGAGAGCGGGTCCCTCCAGGTTGAAAATTGGTTTATTTCTGGAGCAGGTGGGGGCGGGGCTCCCTCCCTGACAGGCTGTCCTCTTTCTGTCAGCCAGCATCGCTTCTGCCCACATCTGCCCCGGGGAGGGAGCGGGGGCTGGGAGACCCATCCCCGCTGGGTGTCCCTGGCAGGCAATGTGCGCCTCCCCGGGGCATGCAGGTCCAGCAGCCCTGCCTCTGGGGCGCCTGAGCGTGTAGGGAAGGCATGCGTTTGCTCTGACGGTAACTTGGCCATGAAATGTTTGCCGGAGTTGCATTCACGCTGTTTCACACGGGACACTGCATTTTATTGGGGGCTGGTGTCCGCCCACACAGGAGGGATCCTGAGCCGTTCACCCTACAAGTCGCAGCAGCAGGTACTCTCTCTGGAGGAGCCAATAGAGCTTTATGTCAGTTACACAAAGACCTGCTGTCACCACCCCTGCCTGCGCCTGGCGGGGGGAGGGGGGCCAGTGGAACCCAGAGACAGGCCTGATGGAAGGAGAAGGGGCTGGTTTCAGCCCAAGGACCCGCTGGGAGGGAGCTGCAGCGGGCGGAACAAGAATCCCCATCTCATCTCCCCTGCCCTGCCCCCACACTGCCCCTCTCCCTCTGAATTCCCTGCTACTGCCTCCCCTGGGCCAAACTCAGCAGGAGCTGGCGTTGAGGCGGCACTGGAATGGGTGATGTATGTCTGGGCTCAGGGAGCGCTCCCACGCGAGTGGCTCAGAGTGAAGGGTCCACAAGGGGTGGACTGTCCCCTTTAATGCTTACCGCCTTGGACCAGGGGCCTGGGCAGATGGTCAGGGGAGCTGTTCTCTGCCTGCCTGCTATCCATCCTGCAGCCTTGAACGAGGCATTGGGACACTTGGGGTCTTTTTTTTTTTTCTCACCTGGAAAATGAGCCAAGTGGTCCCACTAGGTCTCTTCCAGCTCAAAGTTCCCATAAAAAATGTCATTTAAGAAACTGTAGTCCTTTTGTACTTGGCGACAAAAAAAAGTGGCTTTAAAAATTTGGAAATATGCTTTTCCGTTTCTTACATGTTCCCGTCTTCTCTCATTTCCTTACAGAGCACAATTGCGGAGAGTCTGCCCAAGGCGGGCACACAGGACAGGTGTGGGGGTGCAGGTGAGTGGGGGGGGGGGGGCAGCAGGCGTCCTGAACGGAAAACTTTGTGAACCGTTTGACCTGGAACCCCAGTGCTTATGAAGCTTGTGTTTTGAAATTTTAATACAAGCTCAAAACTGATATCATATGAAAATAATTTCAAAATCTCACAGAGAGAGCCAAGCTTTTCTGGCATTTCCAGAGCAGAGCTTGGAGTCTTGGTGACCGGCATGGAGTGTGAGCAGCCGGGGGATGTCCCCAGCCGGACAGAATGAGTGGCACTGTCCGAGGAAGCTGCTGTGCTCGGCACAGACCAAGGCCCATCTGAGAGCCCCCAGCCCCTCTCACCCGATCTGAGCCCCTTAGTAAAGGAGGCGGTGAGACTGAAATATGCGCAGTCAGGCAGGGTCAGGTCCATGGGTTTCATGGAGGTAACAGACCACTGAAAGGCAAGGCCCTTCTCCTCCTGACGTGTGTTATTAACCCAGAAAATGGAGTGAACCTGAATGCCTGTCATGCGTCCCCCGCCCCTGCCACAGGCACCCCATAGGATCTGTCATTCTTACTTCATACAAACCCAGAGTGACCTTAAGGAACCTGCTCTGCACCTCGTGTGGAATAAGCTGATGCTGCAAAACACTGGCCCGGACATGATTTTGTGATGTGTTTGGACAACTCTACGCACTCTGAGCCTCAGTTTGCTTATCTGTAAAATGGGCACAACACAACAGCTAACCTGAGGAGAACATGAGGACATAAGATATCTGAGATGCGGAGCAGTCGTTATTAACATTCACTTGAACTTTAAGATGAGCAAAGTGTCCTATATCAGCTTCAGGTTTCAATCTCAGGAAATGATAAGCCCTGACCTGCTGTTCAGAACCACCGGCGGGGTAAGCATGGGCTCTCACATCTGCCTGCACAGGAGTGACCTGCGGAGCCTTACAAAGTCCTGGCGTCCCAGGAAGTTTGACTCTCGTTCTGGGGAGGAGCCCAGGTTTGATACTTTTCTGATGTCCCAGGTATTCTAACGGGCAATGGGGCAGACGGAAGCGGACATGAGAGCGTCAGTCCTGTCCATCCGTCTGTCCAGATCCACTCGCTGACATCTTCTCATTCTTGAGGAAGGTATCAAATAACCACACTTTCCTTTGCCTTTGGGTTCCAAGCTCACCCTAAGAAACCCAGGAACTGCCATTGCTCATAAAGAATGCTCCGCACATTTAGAGTTATTTCTGAGCAAATTTTCAATGAAATGTTTCAAGAAAATGTACCTCGCCCAAACATTTATGACCAAGACAACGCTGGGAACATCTAATCTCACCAAACAGCCAATTCTGTCAATTTCGTCTACAGGTCACGAGCGAGGAAGACCCAGGCTCCCGTGCCTGTCCTCAAGGTGGAATTTGTCCGTGTATTCTGCAAACATTTATTGAGGTTCTACTATGTGCCAGGCATTGCCCAGATATCAGGATGCAGCGACCACTGAGCAATGCTCTGCCCTCATGAGCCTTGAGTGTTTTCCCCATAGCGATGTAAATGATTGTAATAAGTTAGATCAGTGGTTGGCAAACTCATTTGTCAACAGAGTCAAATATCAACAGTACAATGATTGAAATTTCTTTTGAGAGCCAAAAATTGACCTCTGCACATGGGCCATAAAGTTTTAATCGCACTGTATGTGCATATCTGCATGTGGTATTTTGTGGAAGAGCCACACTCAAAGAGCCGCATGTGGCTCTCGAGCCGCAGTTTGCTGACCACTGAGTTAGACTAACCACGTAACTGCAAATAATAGTGGAACTAAAGGTGTTACAGGCATGCAGTCTTATAGGGAGGTTCCTGCCCCAACCATCCCCAGAGGGGACTCAGGCATCTTCTTGTGGGATCAGCAGAGGGGGTTCTTCCCAGCTCCTTTACCAAGTGCATTAGCTGGGCTCTGATCATGGAAGGGGGTGGGACTCCAAGCTGAGGAGCTCCCCAGGCCTGTAGGTCTTTCTCCAAGGGTTTTGGGATCTGGAGACTGCCTTAGGTCAAAGGGCACTGTCGGGGCTTCCTGTGGTTGCTTTGACTCAGGGACCTGGTGAGGCTGCAGAGCCCCAGCTACAGGGGAATCTCATCGTGTTTTCACATTCGCTTTCTAGAGGAACCGGGCATTGTCCCAGCTTCCCTTCCTGATTACCCGCAGCCCTGAAGCCTAAGCTTGGCTTTTGCTGTGGACGTGACACTCAGGTGCCATCTGTCAGTCACAGCAGGGCACTTGGTACAAATGGGACTGATCTGTCCAGCATGGCTCTGTGTGGGGACACTGGTACAGCCCTCAGGGCCTCATGAAGAGTCAAAGCCTGCCTGTAGGAGCCAATGGTCAGGGAGAGGCTGGGCCAGAGGAGCCCCTGGGAATCACAGGGTGAGGCCACCCTTGTCATGATGCCTGTTTATTTCTCCAGCAAGGGACAATGCCAACTGTACTGCAACTTAGACACCAAATGCACGATGAATCATAAATGCCAACCTGGGCAGAAAACTTGCTGAACAGTATACCAGGTCCTATGGTATAGGCAGAGGAGGCAGGATATGTTCATAATTCATTTTGTTTGACTTAGAAATCCATGCTTTCATTTTAATAATAGAGTTCCCATGAGACTTATAGTCTCCAAAGAAGTTGTGGGTCATTGGGTTTCCAAAATGAACCCCAGTTTGAGAAACACTGCTCTGTCTTCTGTTGCCTCCCTATAAGGTTCAGCCACTACCCTCCAGGTAGAAAGGGATCCCTGTGAAAGAGGTGCACAGTACCAGTTGGGGCCTGGCAGTAAAGGGGTTCCTGCCCCAGTCATCTATGCCGGATAACTGATTATGTTTGATTAGCTCACAAATTTCTTTGGGATTGAAAGTCATTTTGGAAAGACAATGGATTTGATGGTTATAACATAAATATTTCAGAAAAGTAAACTAAAATAAAAAAAAAACAGGTGCTACAGATGAGGAACATCTTTATGATTTTGAGCCTGGGGACTCAGTGCCTGTGTCAGGAGAAAAAGACATGCTTTATCAATAGGTTGGATTTGGGCATAGGTTTTAATCCAGGACTAATTGTACCCTTATCTACCAAATAAAAGAGTAACATGATAATTGACCATACCTTCTCAACACCCACCAGCCAATCAGGAGTGAGTATGCAAATTAACTCAACAAAGATGGCAGGCCAATTTGCATATGGAGGCACCGAGTGGCTGGGGGTGGGGCCTCTGGGCAGCATGGGAAGGCAGGAAGGCAGGAAGGCAGAAAGGCAGCTCTGGCCAGAGTGAAGGTGGTGCCAGAAGCCAGGGGAAGGAAGGCCCATTCTTGCACAAATCGTCCTGCGTTGGGCCTCTAGTAGTATCATAAGCTCACTAAACAGGTGGGACTACGTAAAGCAATGGATCATGTAGTTTCCTCCTTGTCCTGGGGAAGTCCTTTCTCCCCTGGGAAATCCCTGGTGCTCTAAGTGAGCGTGCACAGACATTTGCTCATAGACATTTCTCCTGCATTCCACCTGATCCAAAATTAATATTTCATGAAAGAAAAACAATGCTTTTACAGTAAAGAAATGTTTTGGCTCTCAAACATTTCTCATGTATTCCTTGAAGGTAAAGCTTATAAAAACGCTAGCCTCTGTCTATGTCAGAGTTTAGGCACCATCCTTCCAATTACAACAACGAAACAGAATAGAGATCGAGAATGACTGGGATCGAACTATTGGTTGCTGGAGAGAGTATGA